GATCGACACGTAACGAATTTCGCGAATTTCGCAAAATCGCGAGAAATTTTTAATTAAACTTCGCGGAATCAATATTGTTCTAATATAATTTAAATTAATTTTTTGCGTAATAAAAGTATAAATAAATAGTTGATTATATTTTATTTATAAATAAAAATTTTATAGAAATTATGTAAATCATTAATAAATCATTTATAATTTTATAATATTTTAATTATATTAGAGCAACAAAGCATAGAGCATTTAAAGCTCTAATTTTATCCAATGAGACATACAATGAACTCACCCTTATGTAATAACTATTGAAGTATTTTTCGCATTATCACTATATCGACCAACAATTTTGGAAACGTCTTGGTTAAAATCTTATTTGGCATTGGGAATTCTCAAGTCAAGTTAGGATAGATCGATGCTAATTTAAGAAATAAGTATCGTATTTACTGCACTATAATCATGTGATTTATTACAGTATCTTTATTTTTATTCCGTGTTCTGTAAATCAAAAAATGCAATAATAAAGTTTTTCAATTAACTGATTGAATGTCATTGTTATATAGATTGTTAGCAGGATGGTTACTATATAACATTAATAGAATTTCAAGGTTTAACATCAAATAAATATCGATCGTTCCCAGGACGGTTTATGTCACAGAACAACTAACATTTTTTCTTTATTATAAAGCATTAATATCACTTGCAATTACAATGTATAAATGTGATTATTCTATTCATTGGATGACAACAGTTTGATTTCATTTCTTTTGTTATTTTGTGGAGTAAAATAAGTTGATCTAATAAAATCCGCTTTACGGTGATGAGGCTTCGAAATTCTTTCAGTGTGAAAAGTATTGCTGAATGGATCTGAATCCTTATTAAGACACGATAGTGCTTCAGCCTTGTGAACAATACTTTCCTAATATTTCAAGTAGATAATAAATATTCATTAACAATATACACCAAAAATCCTGTCTCTTATCTTAAAGAAATATAATGCTTCCAAATTTTTCTTCAGAACAGTAATATCATTAATTTGTATAGGAAACCTTAATAGTGGCCCTTCAAACCCGAAATACAATCCCTCATCTAATAAATCGACACCAATTATTTGACCATATAAAGCTAAACACAATAAAATAGAACATCATTATGAGCATAATGTAATGTGTAATATATGTATTAAAGCCTTACCTGCTAATTGCAACCCAATGACTGCAGAATTTTCGATTATTTCATCGGATAGATCATGTGAAAGATAGTTATCAAGAACAGATTTGTTGGTTCTCAAACATTTACTACGATCATTGATAATCTTGGTAGGATTTGTTCTACGTGCGCACTCAGAATGACTGAGCTCCACATCTTTTCCTTGACTTTTTCCTCGATATATAATTTGTAAATCGATTTTTCTTCCAACTGTTGTTGCTTTTGAAACTGTTTCTCCCCTGCAAATATTATAATCAGAATAATAATTGATAATTATTCCAGGAAGAACAGGATACTTACCACTTGAGCTGAACAAGGTGTTGAATGTCGGAAAATATTATATCCATTGTTGGACCCGCAACTTTGAGTATAAATTCAATTTCCGTTAAATTTTGTTTATTACCTTCTCTATCTACAAAAACATAGGGATCTACCAAAAACATCTCTATGCTAATTATAATATTAAAAATCAGTTCGGCAGGCGTTGTGAATATAACTGCATAAAAATGCGTGTAGTTACATAAAAAAATAAATATTTTCATAATTTGACGTTGTAAAGTTCCAGTTCGATCTGGGCGTCCCTTTAATTTTTCATACACGAAATCTCTTGCTTCCCAGTATTTATATTCACCGCAAAGCTGAATATTGAAAAAGGTTCAATGAAGCATCCATAATAAACATTCGATCAATAGATCATTTACATACTTCCTCTATTTTGTCGATGTCACTTTTGATTACATCTTCGAACTTCTTTGGCTTGATGTTTATCTTTGCTAGCACCTTTGCTTTAAGATCTGGCCATTCCTCACCAACCATGAATACATACCACCTGAAAATTCTGAAGAAAGATCAACAATTGAGGAAAGCCCGAGCCTACATAAGTGATTACCAAAGATTAGCATTGCACCAATAAAATATATGCAAGAAATTATATACCGGATAGTGCTTAAAATAGATGCATCTAGTTTTTTCCCTTTTGATTGTAGCTCCTTGGCTTGTTTGATGGCTTTTGACGTCATACGAATAAGAACATCTCTAACACTTTCACCATTCTTCAACATCCATCTTTCTCCACCTTTGTTTGATTCCATATATTGATCGAATGAAATTGTACTAAAATCAATAAAATCATCTTCATCTGAGGACTCCTCTTCTTCATCGTTTTTATCATCCTCAAGCTCGCTTTCAGATTGATTATATCCGAGAAGACATATCTTAAAATTCTGTAAAAATGTTAGTTTAAATATTAAGCTCAGATCAGACCCTTTTTGATCCACCCAATAGTAGTTTAATACCTCGTTACTTTCTGATAAATTTTCTGATTTTCGCTTACGAGATTTTGGAGTAGAAAACATTGGCTGTTCCTTTTCTGTATCTTGTATCCTATCTCTTTTTTTTAATATCTCAATATTGAAATTTTCGCGAACATTGTTATCCTGCTTATATATTAACTTTTTCACAGTCACGTGTTGTTTAGCCTAACTCACAAACAATACATCAATAATTTGAAATTCGCAAAACATAATGAACTTGCAGAAATACATCATATACGTACATCATGCAACTTACTCCTCTCTTCGGCAACTCGCACTCTTTTTTCCAAATTATCCTTCTTCTCCTCGTATTTTTTGGATGCCCAAAAAACATTAAGACTTTTCTTGTCCTGTTGGGAAAGACCTTTTTAATAGTTCTTGAAACTCATGAATCTATTTAAACTTATTATACCTCTAGAGTCTTCATTATGTTAGAAGCAATTGATTGCAATTCCGGTTTGAGCTTGAACTCAAGTACTCAAGGCATTTCTTTAATGTACGGTGAGCTGTCTCGAGAAAATACTGCAAATATGCTTGTAACTTACTTTCCATTCTGATTAACTGATCGAGTTACAGACAACTGTTGTTTTTATCGGGAGTTAAACAATTCTCATCAGCCAATAAAATTGTAAGGAACCAACATGAGTTGGTCCCAACGTGAGGTCAATTAATTGACCTCACGTTAAACCTGCCTCATCTTAATCCCTCACAATTATTCTAAACACCTTTTTTTATACCTTTTCGCATATGAACACAGGACTACGTCTCCAAGCAACTTGCAGGCAGTTCGTCATTTGACCAGTAGCTTGTCATTTGACCCGCTGTCCGTGGTTACGTCCCCAGCAAGTTTGCGTGTTCATATTCCGCTACTGGCTATACTCAACTGGTGCAGGACTACGTCTCCAAGCAAACTGCAGGCAGTTCGTCATTTGACCAGTAGCTTGTCATTTGACCCGCTGTCCGTGGCTACGTCCCCAGCAGATTTGTGCACCTTTGAGAGCCAGTTTTTCGCTACTTCGTCTTTTTTTTTTGCATAAGATGAGTGTATGATGATATAAAAAGTGCCGAAAGGAAGAGATTAGAGGAGATCAAAGGAAAAGATAAAGGTCGCAATAAAAAGGTTTTTGCATTAAT